AAAAAACCATGCTGGATCCGACAGCCTGGGAGAGGCAAGGCTGCTGTAGCTCTCTGCCCCATGCCCCTGGTCTGTGCCCCATGTAGCAAGGTTGAAGATGTATTCCCTGGAGGCAAAAACACACACAGAGCAAAAGTATATGCCCTCTATATGCATTTATATACATGAATACACATACAATAAATCTATGTATACATACGGATATACACATATACACATCTTTGAGACCTGTCCTAGAGATCCCAAACAGACACTCAGAGTATCACACAAACACAGACAGCACCAGCAGCCTCATCCTGCCCCCTCTCTGGCTGAGCAGGATGGGAATCTGATAGAGAGGGTAGAAATATTTGTGCACTCCAGCAGCTGGGCTCAGGCGCTTGGTCTCCCCAGTTGCTGGCAACTGGACGCCCAGGGCCCCAAGGCCACAGCCCCACTCCAGTTGCTGGTACAGACTGTCCTGTCCCTCCCATCCTCCCCCACCCCCTGCAGCTGACCAGGACTCCCCTGGCCCCATGGCTGATCCGCCGTGCTCTTGCCCCTTGAGACACGAGCGCTGTCATGTCCAGGGCTGCCCTTGGAAAGCCACTCAGCCCTTGCTCCTAGGCTACCTCACCTGCTTGCCAGCTGCTCTGGCTTGATCTGCACAAGCAAATACACACCCACACTCGGTCCAGTGGCTGCACTGTGGGCAGACGGGCCCTCACACCCATGGTGTGGCTGCGGGTGCTGCACTTCCCCCCCCTGCCCCCCACTGAGTAGGGAGCCCTCACCCAGGACAGAGCTAGAAAGTGGTTTAATAACAAGACAGAACAGACTGCAGTGATCAGGCACAGGGCATGGCCAAACAAGGGTGCTAACCAGCCACTATTTACACGCCATCAGCCTTTTTTATCTCCTTACCCTCTATTTTCCTACATTTGTTCCTGCCCAGATCACCTAACCCCTCCTCTTACACGCCTTGGGTTCCTCCCTTAAACATCCCATCACAAGCCCTGTGTGATCCCTTCCTCTGTATCCCACATCTCACCCCACACCCCGTGGCAGCAACCCACACCCCCCCGGCAGCAACCCTCCTCCATTCAACAGGAGAGCTGCTCCCTGCGGCTCATGGTGGTGGGTTTCACAGCCAGGTCCTGGGCCTTGTGCTGCATCAGGACAGCCCTGGGAGGGGCCTGGCAAAGGTGCCTGTGTAAGAGTCGATCAGAAGATCAGCGTTGTCTCAACATTTTCATCAGCGATTAGGTTCCCAAAACCTGGGCTAACAGCTTGACATGAGTTTGCAGTGGCTCGCTGAGCTGGCTGTCATGAGACTTAGAGAAAGGACTGAGCTGTGACCATTGTACTGAGGTACGAACCATGTCGATACCTTGGTATGAAAGTATGGGCAGTATCATGACCTGGTACAAGCCTATTCTACTGGAGCAGCAAAGCGAAGAACTGCTGTCGAAGAAGATGGACCGCACCGGCTGTGCCAGCATCGATGAAGTAATCTTGAACCTCAGTTGAACTTTCCTCATTATAATGTCATTATAATACAAAATACACGCCTCCTGGTAAGAAGCTACCTGCCTCCAAAGCTGACCGTGCCTCAGACACTCCTCTCCGGGCATGCGTGGAAGCCTTACTCCAGACATGTGGAGATTGGCACCTTTCAGACAGAGGTGGCACCTTTCAGACAGAGGTGGAGTGTAGGTGGGTCCAAGGATGAGCAAGGTGTAATACCTAACATAAAAGATGGTTCCTCAATAACCGATCTCTCCAAAGATCTTCCCCACCGAAAGACCACGACGGTCGAAGAAGAAGCAGTGGAACGCCTTCTGGATTCGGGACCATCAGGACGCCTGTGGACCCAGGGTGGTATCTATAATCCTCTTTCCCCCCTTTTTACTTCATCTTTCCTGTTCTTCTTTCTTTCTATCGCAAGCCGCTTTACAGGCAAAACCAATAAAGTGATTGGGTGTTGAAAGCATAACTCCCTGGGCCTGATGCTATTTCTTTTTTGTGCTTCGAGATCACAGCTGAAACGAACCATCATGTGTCCACTGAGGAGTGGACTGTGACAGCCTGTTCCTCCGGGGTCCCCACTGCACCCTGTGCTCCCCTGGGCTGGAGGAAGAATGCCTTTGACAGTCTGATGGCTCCTGTGATGGCCCTGGGAGTAGCTGGATAGGGTGTTATTTGGGGTTCTCCTCCTGCCATTGTCTCTCTGTGCTCTATTGTGGGTGTGCAGACAAGTTTTTATCGCATAACCTAACACAAGCCACTCAGATATTGCCTGCATGCCAGCTGGGCTTTCTCTGTGGGAACAACGTGGCTTCTGCAAAAGGAAGTGGAAGAGGCACACACAGATCTTTCACGATGTTTTGGGACTCATTCCTGTGACTGTCCTTCTCCCAGAAGGTGTTGGTATCAGCTATTTCAGGGGTGGGATCAGCTCCTCAGTCAATTCCAGTCTCTGCAGCTGATCATAGCAGTGGGTAAGAACCCTACCTGCAGCCTCATGTCTGAAGAGATTCAACAGAAGTCAGCCAGGCGTGGCAATGTGATGGCTGAACCAGACTGAAGCCTTATTTTCTTCTTTTTGTAAAAGCATGTGTAGGACTAAGCCTTTTCCACTTACTGCTTTTGCTTTTCTTCGTACTTAGCTGAGGCGTGATGGCTGTGAGTGAATGGTTTTAGCCATTTAATGTTTGTTGTTGGAAATGTTGGAAATGCCCAGACCAGAGATATTTTTTCCTTATTGCTGTTGTAAGACTTAGCTGCAGCAAGGCACTGCTTTGTAATGGGCATAGTGTGATATTGCAGTGGTCTCTTCAGGGGATATTATCCAGTATCCCCCTGTCAGACTAACCCTGATGCACAGAAGGCAGAACCAGCCTGATAGGGGTGTAGAGGCTTGGTAGCACTGCTCTGTGAACACAGAGCATGAGCAAGCACGGACAAAGGGATGAGGGCAAGGCTGGTAACACACAGCTATGCTGTGATCACATGGATTTGGGTCAGACAGGGATGGCATAAATCATGGGTGCATTGGGAGGGGAAGCAGAAAGAGTCAACTCGGTGTTTTTACTGGTGTTAGCATAATGTCTGAGGCCTCATCAGCATGTTGTTGTGCCATTTGTGAATGTTGTGATGCCAGATAGGGTAGGTGACAGCTTTCACATTTTTTCTGTTGACAATGGTGTCGCTTGAATGGCCTAATCCTGTACAGAACCTGGGGATACCAGGTCTGTTGCAACTGTTGCGGTTGGCATAGCTCACCAGTGTCTTTGCACAGGGTCTGCAAGGTGTGGCAGGCTAACAAAGACAGGGAGAAGCTGTTGCCCAAGTTCTTCAGGGTTTGACTACACACAGTCACCCTGTTAGTCACAGCTGAAGTGTACATATGACCTGCATTACACAGTCAGTGCAATGCTGTACTTGCCAGAGCATTGAGCAGTCCTGTGACCACACCAGCTGATGTTCATGGGTGATGAGGTGTTGTCTGTCCCACAGGAATAATATTATCTGCTGCTGCCAGTGGGCCTACAAACTCCCCCTCATGGCTGAGCTGCCCTGTTAGGTTGATAAAATGGACCTGTCAGCCTTGGTTTCTGTAATGAACTGATGCACATCTCAGAGTTCGGAGGGATTTTGCAGCCCACATCTTGTATTCTAGGGTTTCATCCTGTGCATACACTGCAAAGTAGACAGCAAAATCCTGTCTTTACACTGGAAGGCAAGCAAAGCTATTTTCAAAGAAGGTAGCTGCCATCTATAAAGTTTGTATCTGTGGACAGTAACAGTTTGGGCTACAATCTAGTTAGAAGTCCACACGCTTTCTCAAAGAAAAAGATGATCTGTTTGAGTCAGACGCATGAAAAAATAATGTAATGGAAACCAGGAAGTGGGTCCTCCAAAAGCCTGACCAGTTCTTTGGTAGGTAAGGGGGTTCTTGAGCAAGAAGGCTTTCTACTGCTTTTATTTCTGTGGAACACATGAAAAGAGAGCCATCCATGTAAGGGCTGCATGCTGATTTCTCCTCTTTTTTCTTCCTCCAAGAGGAACTTGGTAGCAATATTGTTAACAGGTGGAAATCAGTCCAACAGATTTCATTTCTCAGGTGTCTGACTTGTGACTCTGGGAATGGGTTTGGAGATCTGGTGACACTCAACTAGGACTGCTGTCAGGGGAAGCTGTCCTGTAAAGCTGTAAAACGCTTAGCAAAGCCTTGAAATTGAATGCTAAAAATAGTGTCTGCTTTTGACCTTGGTTACATATCAGTGATGAAAGAGTAACATACATCTTCATATTACGAGATTGCTGCTGAAAAAAAATAGCTTTGGAAACTTTATAGGTGTGTGTGTGTGTGTGTACATGTATATATGTATGTGTATGTATTTATGCACACATAGCTATATATGTATGCATAAATTGCATACAGTAAGTACATTAATATGTAATGTTTCATGCATGTATCTTATAACCTTGGAAAACCTATGAGGAATTTAGTATTTCCATCTTCAAGCTTGATAAGAATAATACTCATTAATCAGAAACCAAAGGGGAAAAATTACTGAAAGCTCTCAGCCACTGAATGCCCTTTCATGTGTCTTAAATTAAGAATCAGACCTGTGGAAAACAACCAAAGGTCATATAACCTAATATATAATTAGAAGTGACTGTGGTAGACTGCACAGCAGTCATAATTCTGTTTTTTTCCTAATCACTCCATGGTTATGAAGCTTAATAACTTTATTTTATTTTTAAAGGAAACTGGAGGGTTGTGAATGGCTGGCAAACCAAGAGAATGATGATCAGTTCTGAGACCTGCAATATTGCTTATTCTCACATGTTTTCCTTGAGAAGTACAATGGCTGTGGCCAAAACACTTTGAAAATACCTGAAGCAAGATTTTTAATTGAATGAATTTAAATGAGTAAGGAAAAATGTAAAGAAAGATAAATATTAAAATCCAACAGTGAACTAATTATTTCCATGGGAAAATATCTACAATTTTTATTGTCTAGGCATTCATTATCTACAGATTGGTGAAGGACTAAGCAGTGATTACAAAATCAAAGTGACAGAATTTCACATTTTGTGCAATTCCCTTTCACTTCGCACCACTGGAGGCATTTACTCTTCACTTTCTGCCTTCTTGCCAATTTCACGGCTCTTTGCTCGGAGCTTGTTGACCTGCGACTCTGCAATGTCAGCCCGCTCCTCGGCTTCCTCCAGCTCGTGCTGGATCTTGCGGAACTTTGTGAGATTGACATTAGACAGCTCCTCCTGGAGTTAGGAAGAGAGATAAAATAGGTTTTAAAATGTTTAATAATGTTTCTGCTGTAACACTGCACTGGATATGCTGTGGTATTCTGCCTTTACATAGTGAAATAAAAAAAAGAAAAGACTGTGAGTTAGTGTGTAATTCTTTTTAATACTTCTAGAGGGAATCCAAAGAAATAGCTTTAATGCTAGATGGTTAATAAGATATACCAGGAACCCACCTCTGGATATGAAGCGCTAATACACTTTGGATTTTTTGAATAATTATATATAATTACACTTATTTTCATTAAATCCTTTCCCATTTATTTACTGCTATAAAATTATGTATTACAATTTCTGAAGTGTTTTTTTTTTTTTTTTGCTAGGCGGAAGTATGAAAAAGAAAGTCAAAGGAACCAGAAGCCTACTCCCACAATGTTGACCTGAGCCTTTGCTGCTATTCCCAGTGATGCAATAATGCTCACAGAAAATGTATCCTACATTTTCTACATATTCCTAGACCCCTGAGCTATTCAGTCAGAACAGCTGTTCAGCTGTGCATTCCTGAGTGCATGGTGAGAAAAAGACAAAAAAGTTAAGGGTTTGCAAAGAGCTATGCAGGAGAAAACACCAACACAGAATTCTGCCTTCACCTGGATGGAACCTGACTCTGCACACAGCAATACTTACAGCCTCCTCAGCTTGTCTCTTATAGGATTTCACTTTCATTTGAAGCTTGTCCACCAGATCCTGGAGCCTGAGAGCGTTCTTCCTGTCTTCTTCAGACTAAACAACAAGAAAGAGAAGCACCTTTTTGCCCCTCTTCTTTAAATGCCCTCTATGTGAAACAGAGAGTAATACTGCTTATAGACTATTGCTGTCCAGTAAGACAGAGGTGATAAGCTGGATCTTCCTAACATGACCAGAAAGATAATTTCTTCTGGTGTTCTCAGTCTACTCCTTTTTAACTACGTGCCTAGGACCGAAAGAAATCCTTCAGGGCTACATTTTGGCTTCCTGCAAGAAAGGGTGTTTCAGCCCAAGGAGGTGTCCTGCCTTACCTGGTAGGTCAGCTCCTTCACCCTCCTCTCGTACTTGCGCACACCCTTCACTGCTTCAGCGCTGCGCTTCTGCTCAGCATCAACCTCCCCTTCCAGCTCCCGCACCTGCAATGAGAAGCCCATGTTTGGAGCTTCCCTGGTATCTCTCCAAGGGACATGCTCACTCATGCACAAATACCAGCCCTACGCACTCTGGCCTCCAGCTTCTGGATTTGCTTCTTGCCTCCCTTCAGGGCCAACTGCTCAGCCTCATCCAGACGGTGCTGTAGGTCCTTCACCGTCTGGTCCAGGTTCTTCTTCATCCTCTCCAGGTGGGCGCTGGTGTCCTGCTCCTTCTTCAGCTCTTCTGCCATCATGGCTGCCTGATGAGAACAAAGAGTCAAAGATATTTTGGTGCTGGAGATACTTTGAGGCAGAATACATCCATACTGAAAGGAACCCCCGACTCACATCTGTGATGGCCTTCTTGGCCTTCTCTTCAGCATTGCGGGCTTCCTGGATCGTATCCTCCATTTCACCCTGAATTTGGGCAATGTCTGTTTCCAGCTTCTTCTTGGTGTTGATCAAGCTCGTGTTCTGTTGAGCAGCACCAGACGTTTATTTTTGTTAGCTCATTATTTCAAATCCAGAACATTACAGGATTTTGAATTATTTCAGACATTATATGAAAAACCAATACCACATATTTTTCTGTAAAATTTTTTATCACTGGGGAACAAGGCTTTTTTTTTTTTTTTCCCTCTAACAATTAATTTTATTTAATTTGAAAAAGAGCACTTAGAAAGAGAGAGAGAAAAAATTGTCATGTATATAGGAATGGATTCCTTCCAGAATCATTTCAGCACTTGAAACTGGATACTCTCCATAGATTTCAGCACTTGACTGAGTGCTGGATGACTGCTATGACACGTAGCTCATGTCAAAGTCTGCTTGACATGGGCCAAATCAGAGCGAGGATTTCATCCCCACTTCCTTGCCAGCATAGACAAGCACATTTCTGAAGGAATATGAGTATTCCCTAGTGCTACATTTCAACTAAGCAAGGAATGAATATTGCTGTAGTATCAGAGTTTCAGTCCCTGACTGCTCAGATGGCAGACTATTTGGCATGTATGACTGAAAACATCTGGTCCCTGTGACTAAGTGTCTTCCCTCTGGAGATTATAAGAGGATGAAAAGAAGGTAGAACCATGGGTTTCATCAAATGCAACCTGTGAACACAGCCAGTGTGAACACATAGCCACTTTTTCTGCAAAGATCTCCTTTAGCATTATGATGATTACTTCAGAAAAGATAAGAGTTATCTTTGAAGTTGAGCCTCCAATGGTGACTGGAATAAAACATACCAGTGTCCTCCTACTTACCAAGAGTGCCGTTTCTCACCAAGTGACCTCACCTGGGTATGGAGGAGCTGCACACGCTCACTTGCATCCATCAGTTCCTGCTCAGCCACCTTTCTACCTCTCTCTGTTTGTTCAAGTGCTGCCCGTAGCTCCTCAATTTCAGCCTGCAGCAGGTTTGCTCTGCGCTCCACCATGGCCACCTGCTCCTTCAGGTCCTCCTGTGTCCTGAGAGCATCATCCAAATGTATCTGGGTATCCTGTAGAGCCAGTGAAAGAAATTATAAGCAAATTCAGAGCTGTTTGGCACTGAAAATATCAGCTAAGATATTTCTCTGTAGGGAACTTTTGTTCAATGCACCTTGAGCACTCCCTGAGTGTTTCTCAGGTTCTTTTGTGCCTCTGCAGCCTGGCGATTGGCATGGCTCAGCTGGATCTCTATTTCATTCAGGTCTCCCTCCATCTTCTTCTTTAGCCGCAGGGCTTCGTTCCTGCTCCTGATCTCAGCGTCCAGGGTGCTCTGCATGGACTCCACAATTCTGAGGTGGTTTCTCTTCAGCTGGTCGATTTCCTCATCTTTTTCTGCTATCTTCCTGTCAATCTCAGACTTCACCTGGTTGAGCTCAAGCTGGAGGCGCAGGATCTTCCCCTCTTCATGTTCCAGGGAGGCCTGGAAAAAAATAAATCAGAACACTTGTTACGTGACGAATGTTGAACCTGAAGGTCTAAGTAAAATAGAGTGCCATGTTTAGATAATATTTCTACACTTTTATACAAACATTATTTTCCTCTGTGTCTGGGAAGGACTTCATGGAACTTATAATGAGATAGAGATCCAGAATATGTGAGAGAGCAAGAAATAATCCTGGGTACCTCAGCTTCCTCCAGGGAGGCTTGGAGTTCAGATTTCTCCTGCTCAATCTGCTTCTTGATTTTCTCCAGCTCATGAATCGCCTTTCCTCCCTCAGCAATCTGCTCCGTGAGGTCGGAAATCTCCTCTGTGGGAAAGAAGGAAAATGGCATGGTCAGGCACAGAGCTGCATGGGAAGGGCCCTGCAGTGGTGACAAGCAGTTTTGCTGACCTGTGGGCACAGACCCATGTGGAGCGGTGGGTAGTGGTGGATAAGGAGAAAGCCCTGCCAGGAGCAGAGAGCCAGGGACTTACGCTGCAAGTTCTTGTTCTCGCGCTTGAGCGTTTCCAGGTGGTCCAAGGACTCCTCATAGGCATTCTTCATCTTAAACAGCTCCGTGCTGAGAGAGCGAGACTCCTTCTGGGAGGCTTCCAGCTCAGCCTGCGTTTCCTCATACTTCTGCTTCCACTCTGCCAGGATCTGAAGAGAAACGGGGCGTGAGTGTGGATGTGGCACCCAGGAGGGGATGCTCTGCCCAGGAGCCCCTGGCGTGCAGCCCAAAAGACCTTGTCAAAGTTCTTCTGCTTCTTATCCAGAGCTGCGCAGGCAGCATTTGATCGCTCCACGTCAATCATCAGGTCCTCCACTTCATTCTGCAGCCTCTGCTTTGTCTTTTCCAGGGAGGCACATTTGGCATTCACAGCTTCCACGTGTTCCT